GGACAGATTGGTGAGCCGGCAGATTTAAAGTATCTGGAGGGGTGGTGTCTGCCTTCTGAGACTTCAAGTGTTGGGTGACTTTCAAATCTAGGATGAGCCATGACCTAGGGTGAGACTGGGGATTTTTTTTTAGATTCCTTTCCAAGTGAAAATAAATCTTTTGCCGTCTGCCAAGAACCCATAGTTCTCTAGACTGGGCACCTGCGACTGGGCTCATCTGCCCTAGGACTGAGGGTGCCCCTGCTCACAGAGCCTGTCCAGTGCCAGGCACAGTTCCTTAACTCAAAGGCGGCTTTTCCTGGGGAAGCCTAGTATCTGTCACTTATTTGACTCTGCAAACCCTAACTCACTGTCCAGAGTTTGCAGGTTTGGCTAATAGGTCACTGCCAAGCGGCTACTCTGCACACCCACTCTCCCCACCCCCAGTGCTTGATTTCTGTTCCACCAGTGGCGCATGACCAGCTCACAGGTGGTCTAGGCGGTGGGCAGTGAAAATACCCTTTGATCCTAAATCCTCTGCCTTTAGGAAAACTTGGTGAAGCCACCATTAGCAACTTGTTCTTCTGGAGTAATGGGTTACATCACTGCGAACACTCGGGTAAAATGGGACAGATTAGTACATTATGGAAACGTGGAAAAGATTGATTTGACAGTTGCTGACAACAAAGTAATTGGCTGATGGCCAGAAAGGCCTAATTTTGAGCAGAAGGAAGACTGTGTCCAGAGCATGGGATGAAATCCCACCCCAGGAAGTTGAGGGCATAGTGATTGGATTGGGTCCTGGGGGGAACGACCCTGAAAATGGGGGAGGAGGAAGATTAGGTCAGAAAGTGCCGCTTTCATGATCTCCACAGCGGCTGGGAAAAAGGCGGTGTGCAAACATGTTGAGACATGGGAGGGAAAGTCATAATGTTTCAGAAATTAAAATGTAGGGAAATGGATTTTTACCCCCAAGGGTCATGCCCTTATAGAAGCAGATGATCGAGTAATAGAGATGGGTGTTTAAGAGCAAGGCCCGGGTACCGTCTTTTAAGCTCTAAAAAGTGACTCATAGTGGAGCGGGTTTGAGCGAGGAGTGTGTCCCGGGTCGTCCGTCCCACCGGTCATAGCCTGTGAGTGACCAAGACCTTCCTCCAGGCCCTGGCATTCAAGTTGTCTTTCCAACCTCTCAGGTATGATCCAGGCCCTGGGGGGCTTCTTCACTTACTTTGTGATTATGGCTGAGAACGGCTTCCTCCCGACTCACCTGCTGGGCGTCCGAGTAGACTGGGATGACCGCTGGATCAACGACGTGGAAGATAGCTACGGGCAGCAGTGGGTGAGTGAGGGCTGCCCGCCTGACCAGTGCTGGACGGAGCTCCTCCAGCCCCACGGGGTGGGGCCACATGGCCTCCGGACACACATGCTCATCTGTCTGCCTTATGCATTTCAGACCTACGAACAGAGGAAGATCGTGGAGTTCACCTGCCACACCGCCTTCTTTGTCAGCATCGTGGTGGTGCAGTGGGCCGACTTGGTCATCTGCAAGACCAGGAGGAATTCTGTCTTCCAGCAGGGGATGAAGTGAGTAGGGCACAGTCAGGGGGTTCTGGCTCAAAGAAGGGGTCTGGTGACATCTAAACCCTTTGCCAAAAGCCCAGCACCTGACACCCAGGGCAGAGTTTCTGGAAACTTATTTGTGGAGCAAATTGAGGAAGCAAAATGTTTTCTAGGTTTTTTCATCTGACCTCAGTCAGGTTCCTAAGTACAACTAATAATACATAAAGACATCGACCTGCCATTTGACACGTAGCATTAGAAGATACACTTCTGTTTGTGTTTTTTAACTTTTCCCCACTCCTTGTTTTTTTAGGAACAAGATCTTAATATTTGGCCTCTTCGAAGAGACGGCCCTTGCTGCTTTCCTTTCCTACTGCCCTGGAATGGGTGTTGCCCTGAGGATGTACCCCCTCAAGTAAGTCCATCCTCTTCTAGCTCCAGAAAGTGGGAAATAGTAAGTGTGGCTTTTACTCTCATGACACACGTTAGTAGCTGTTATTTTGGGAACTCTTGGGTGATGTGTACAAGAGTTCCTCTGGATTAGAAAATGAGGAAAGGCTGACTCAGTAATGCAGACCAGCAAATCCCCAGACTGTGCTTAGGATTTGCTGTCACTAGGGCCAGCCGGGCTCTGGCCCTTGGGCTTGCTCACCAGCCAACTGCACTGAGCGCTCAGGTCCCCCATGGCCACAGCCCTGTCGTCTTGAGGCCAGTGGGGGATATGCTGGAGTTTGGGGGCACAGGTTCCAGTCTTGATTGGCCCACCCAGTCACTGCGTCGCCTGGCAAGTCCCTCACCTCTGTGGGCCTCTGACTCTTCTGCTCTCGAAGGACAATGGTGGAGCAGATCCGAGGTCCTTTTACTTTACAGTCGAGCACGGGTAGTGTTAGGAGATCATGGGTGGAGGATCGGAGGAGACTGACCACTAGTCTTTGGCCAGAACCAGACTGGCCTTAAACATGGTGAATGACTGCACTTTTGATACACCTGACTTTTCACATACAGGATTTGCCACAAACTCCAGTAGTGTTTTGAAGCATTGAGTGCGTTTGTGGTGTCTGCCAGCTGGTTAAGGTTAGGCAGCTGCAACCTATTAAAATATGCTAAACCACAGAAAATGGGACCCTATGAGTCAAGCTTTTGATCTAAACATCAGTCTTCCCGTGCTCGCTCAGACCCATATGGACTCTCGACTACCCTTCACCTCCTCTCACTGATCTCATCCCAAAAGTAACCCAAACCCTGTTGGCTTCCCTGACTGCCTATCTGTGGTGCAAGGGGAGCCTGGCATCCAGGGTCTTGTTACTGTGCCAGCCTGTCTTCCTAGCCTTATACCCATCCAGGCTTATGTTAGGTGAATTCAGTACTTCTCTTCTGCCTACATGTTTGGGAAGGCTGTTCCCTTCTCTCCCCATCAATCCCGATCGTTCTTCAAGGTTGGTTTTCTCAGGGCTTGTCCCCATGGGATCTCACCCTCCTGGACATGTGCAGCAGCAGCCCTCCTTTGCCATTATTGTCACTTCTGCTCGCATAGATTGTTATTTTCAGAGCATGGACCACGACATCTGTTTTGACTTTGTGTCTCCAGCCCCCTGCACAGAGCTGGCACAAAACAGGGGCAAGTCTTATCCAAGGTGAATCCTGTCATCTTGGGCCATTGTTTGTTAAGAGGAGGCCAGGAGGATCAGAGCTCTCTAGAAGGCCCAAATGGAAAATCTCTACAAAATCTCAGCCTACAACAGGCTGGTGGTGCCCCAGGGCATCTTTTGCTATGACTAGAGAACTTGTTCCCAATAGGTTCTACCCAGTGTGGAAGGTGGCTTAGTTAAGTACAAGGGTCCCCAAGTCAAACGAGGTCATCTTCTAGCATGTGGAGGACACACGGGACAGGAAGAGGAGGAGGAGATGCCAGAGCTCTGTCTTGGGACAGTCTTCCTCCAGTGGTTGCTGCGGGAAGCTGGTAGTCAAGAAAGCATCAGCCTCCTTTGGAGGCTGCCTGGGGAGCCTGTTTCCAGGCTGGGGGCTGTGGCAGCAGCCCCTGGGCCCCCAAAGGCCTCGGATCTCTGCTAGGGTTCAGCTTCTCGTTCCCCAGGTCTGGGACTCAGCGCACTCCTGACTGCCCCGCTGTCAGAGACCACATTCGGGGGATGATTCAACTGGTTGTGACCCACACCGGCAGTTCTTTATCTTTAGGTGCCAGGACATCAGACAGATAAACTTGAGTGAGCTTCTTAAATACTTTAGAAACGGAAGAAAGAAAATGTCCAGTTGCTCTGGAATCGTCAACAACAAAAAAATCTAAGCTGACCTACAAACCAGTTCTCATGGAAAACCCAACTGAAGGTGGCAGTCCGCTTTCTCCTGCCGCTCCGGGCCCTGAGCGCACAGCAGCGGGCTGTTTTCATCCTGTGTGCTGTGTCCGTGCTCGGCCGGCTACCCATGACTGTACTTGGCTCCTCCTTTCAGGCTGATTAGTTCATGATCACTATGCTGACGTGCGGTGTCTTTTTCCTTTGAGTTGCGCGTACACGTATAAATTGTCACTTGCTTCTACTTCCAGACCTACCTGGTGGTTCTGTGCCTTCCCCTACTCTCTTCTCATCTTCGTGTATGACGAAGTCCGAAAGCTCATCATCAGGCGACGCCCTGGCGGTAAGAACAGGCATTTGTAGTTGGGGGTGCGGGCTGCGGAGGGGTGCCTGTGTGGCCGCTGGCTTTTGCTCTGTTTCCTTTGAAGTGTTTGGGCTCCTCCACCGTCAGTCTGCTTGGCTAAGTCCATTGGAAGCCAACTGTAAACTGACTTGAGTCACAGCCCAGCGTCAGGATGGAGATCTCAGTTGAGGTTTCAGAACTGACCAAATACAAACCAAATAGGATGCAGTGGAAACGTGGTTAGAAATCGAAACCATCTTTCCAATTAACACATTACTCTTAAAAGCATTTAAATAAATACAGTTGAGGGCCCAGATTGAATTTGGGTCAAACACCCCACCCCGCCATTGGCTTTGTTCCCCTGAGGTCCATTCTTTCTGTCTTTCCCTCTGCCCCCTCCCGAGGAGGAAGACTCACTGTCGCTTATCTCTCTCTCCTTCTGTGGCCCCCCCAGGCTGGGTAGAGAAGGAGACCTACTACTAGACCCCCTCCTGCACGCCGGGGAGCATCACGCCACACACTCTGCACCCACCACCCACCCCCTCTTTGTGTACTTCAGTCTCGGAATTCGGAATTCTACCCTGGTAGGAAAGCACCGAAGCATGTGGGGGAAGAAGCGAGATGTCCCGGAATGAAGCATGTAGCTATATGGGGGGGAGGGGGGAGGGCTGCCCGAGAAACATCCGTCTGTGGGAACAACATCGGGGAAGGTTTTTATGTGCCTTGTTGTTTTTGTAAAAAGGAAAACTCGGAAAGACTGAAAGAATACATTTTATATCTGGATTTTTACAAATAAAGATGGCTATTATAATGGAATTGGTCTCATGCCCTCATCACTTCCATGGTCCAGATTGTCTTATGTGATCGGTCTGGAGCCGTGGTTCCCAGCACACGAGTCCCTGGCCAGGGGCTTCATCGGCATCATTGGAACTTGTTAGTACAGCGAAGCCGGGGCCACTGAACCGGAAGCTAACCAGCCATCTGTTTAATAAGTCTCCAGGTGATTCTGATTTCACATTCAAGTTTAAGGACCACAGATTAAGGGGAAGCTTTCTGCCCGTGCTTTCGTGGTCTGAATAGGTGAGCTTACCTCCCCATTTTCCCGTGGGCCACTGCGGGTGGTATGGCTGGAACTCCCCCTGCTGCCTTCACATCTGCTTCTTGACGGACACACCCTTCACGAGAAGGATTTTCAGACCCTCAGGGGAGGGCCTCCTCTTCCCGTCCCGGTCACAGCCCCACCTGTGGTCTCTTAGATCATCACCGCCACCACGACAGCCTCAAGTGTCTCTAGACGAAGATCTGTCTGAGAAGCAGAAACCTACCTATTATGCACAGTCTGTTAGGACATCACAAAGAGCTTCCCTTCCACGTAACTCGTTCCTAATTTAGCATCGAATGGCTCCATTTCAGAGCGCTTATTTTCCAGAAGCTACTTAAGAAAAAAAGGTGAAAGATCTGTTTACTTCAAGGTCAAGTATACCTCCAGCTTCCAAAGAGTGAGTGTAAAAGGCCCCCTCAAGTCCCATCGCTCAGTAATCCATCCTGCGTGCTGTTAACTACCTGTACTTGAAGGCTGTCCTTGCTTCAAGCCAATGCAATGAGGAGTCCTTACTTCGGGCACCAATGATCATGGCCTGCCAGGTGGTCATAGATTGGGTTCGAGTATTTTTTCTCTGAAAAGCTCATGCCTCTTGTGCTCACTTCCAAGCTGTGCAGATAGGAAGGGAACGGCTGACGCCCACATCCCAGCCAGTCATTACCCCCAGCCTCTCCTGCTAGGGGCACTGGGAGGGCCAGGTGGTCTGTGCTGCCTTAGTCCAACCCACCAGTCTTCCCTTCTTTCTCGGGGCACTTTCTTCCAGGATGATCTCTGTGCCTGTAGGCAAGTCATTTTTAAAGAGACACTTGTTCAGCCGAACATAAGGAAACTAGGATAAAGCTAAGAACTAACAGATCTTAGGCTCAGGGCCGGTGGTTCCTGAGTCCTCCCTGAGGACATAGCTCTGAGGGCAAGAATGAGGCTGCCCCACGTGCTTAGACTGGCGCAGCCTTGTCAGAGGCTTGCTGGCCTCTCCTCTACTCCCTGCACGTCTGTTCCCTGGCACGCCTGACAGCTGACCAGTGAACACACCCCTGATGAAGGTCATGGGTATTCCCTACCTAGAGGCATTTGAAGCAACCTGAGACCGTAGACTCTGGAGGTGACCCCGGATAGCTTTCTGGCCAGGCCTCTGCAGCCCTGGACTTCTGGGAACACGGCGGGGAAGGCAGAGCAGGACAAGGGCAGAGCGGAACCTCCCGCCGTCTTTCCACCAGAATACCTCTGCCCTTTCTCTGTTTGACAATCCCCTGAATAAAAAGTTTTACAAGCCAAACGTTTGATCTAGAGGCCGCAGATAAGCAACAGGCAAAGCTGGCACCAAAGCCAGGCCTCAAAGGGCCAGATTTTTCCAGGCTTCCTACACGCAGCAAGAGTAAGTGCCTGGGCCTCCTCATACGCCTTTACATTCACCCACTAACTTCAGCCCCGTCCGGAGGAGCTAAAATTTGCTCCAGAACAATGGAAGCGGTCTACCCCACAAATACGCAGCTGAGCCCCCTTGACTCCCACCCTCCCCTCCCCTGCAATGCCCTCCAGACATCCCCAGGGTCATGCCCTCTTGGTCACCCTCTGTGATGCCCTCCCAACACTTTCGACCACCTGCCCCTTTGGCCACGTCGATAATCTGAGCTCTTGCCATTTCCAACATCCTTACTGCTTCCTTATCGCTTTAGCTCTCACCCTCCTTCCTTTGATGGACAAGCTTCTAAGGAGAGTGCCCATCACTTCATCCCTCTGCCTCCTGCCAGCTCCCATTAACACTGGTCCACCGAAGTTGTCCTGGTTGAGGTCGTCACTGATCTGTTAATCCACTGGGCACGCCCCGGTCCTTCCTTGGCCTCTGCAGCACCTGTGACTCCATCACACGCCTCCTGAAACAGCCGCCGTGTCTCTCCGACATCACCTCTGCCCTCTGCTCACCTTTCCCCTCATCTCCACCTGCCCCTTGGCTGCTCGGGAGGTCCTCACCCACTCCCGCCTCCTATTCTTCCTGGGGTTTCACAACGGACCACCTCCATGATGCTTCCCAACTCTCCAATCTGGTCCTCCCTCCTGAGCCCCAGACCCATAAATCCAGTTGTCTCCTGGACATCTGTATTTTTTCAGAAAGAGCACAGCACCCTATAGAGTCTTAACCCCAGTAACAAACCCGAGTCTGAGGTCCCTCACAATGAACATGCTCTAGGCAAAGACATCTGTCGCCCTGTTGCCCCTTTAGAACCCTGGAAGTCACGGGAGGCTTCTCTCCCCTACCTTGCTGTGGCCCCGCCACCCTGCCGGTCACCGACCACTGCTGGTTCCAGTGTGGTGGCTGAGAGCCTGGGCTTTGTGTCTTAACACCCTGGGCACAGTGGCCCCGTCGACCACAGGCACGGAATTTAGTCTCTTTGTGCTTCACTTACTCTAGAATAAGGGTGGTGTTTCAGAGTTGTTAAAAGGATTATGTGAGATTATATGTAAAGGGATTAGCACAGCGACTGGCACTATAAATCCTTTTCTCTGCCACCGCTGCCTTTCACATCTGGGCATCGGCAACAGCTTCCTGACTGGTCTCCTTACTTTCTGCCTTCCTCTAATTCAGCAGCTCTCAAAGTGTCATTTCTAGGCCAGCACCACCTGGGAACTTACTAGAAAGTGCATTCTAATTCAGACCTCCTGAATCAGAAACTCTGGGTAGTGGGGAGAGAACGAGGGATCTGTTTTAATAAGCCTTCCAGGTGATTCTGATGCACGTCAAAATCTAAGAACCATTGCCCTACGCCATCTTCCAAACTCCCCTTGGCTGCCTCTCACCAATGCATGTCTTCATCCCTGACCTCAGCACAGAAACCCATCTCTGCTCGGCCATCCAAACTCCTGGGCAGTACAAATGTGCTCCACACTGCTTCCCCTGCCATCCTACAAGTCCCCTTGGCATCCCCCTTCCAACCCAACTTTGGCCCAACCTGCATTCTCCTGGCTAATCGACTCACCTTTGCAGATACTATTCAGGCCTTTGTTCCCTGGGAAAGGTTCAATGGGCCCTCGTTTTTGCACACCTTACTGTTAGCCCCTAGGCCTCTGTTTATTGGTTTGTTCCCTTATCAGGGAACTAGAGTTCCTGAGTGTGTGGATCAGGCCACACCCACCCCAACATCTGGCACAGTCAGTGCCTGTTGAATGAATTAAATCATGCTCTTTACCAGGCTTTTTTTTCTGCTGCCCAAGCAGCCATATTTTTAACATTTCACCCTCATCTCTTGAGTCTCTGTTTCTGGATCAGAACTGATACCACCCAAAGGAAATCCATGCCCAGGCTTGCCAGAGATCTGAGTTAGGGTCTCTCTCCATCTCTCAAGACTCTGAAGTTGGAAATCAGAGAGTATTAAGAATGAGTCATGGGGCTTCCCTGGTGGCGCAGTGGTTGAGAGTCCGCCTGCCGATACAGGGGACACGGGTTCGTGCCACAGAGTGGCTGGGCCTGTGAGCCATGGCCGCTGAGCCTGCGCGTCCGGAGCCTGTGTTCCGCAACGGGAGAGGCCACAGCAGAGAGAGGCCCCTGTACCACAAAAAAAACCAACAAAAACCTCTTTTTCTAGCAGCTGAATGGGAAGGAGGACACCCCTTTCAGTTGTTATCTTCCTCGAAACTGTTCATTCTAAACGAATTCTCACATTTCCCTTCTGAATCTATCTACCATCTCCCTCTATGACCAAACTCCTCCTGATAGACAAATTTATTGAGTGCTTAAATGTATACCAATTACTGTTTGTCAGTGGCATTTAACCCTCATGACATAACCCTTAGTCATGGAGGGAATTAGGATGGCCAGAAATGGACTAGGAGACCACGGCAAGTGACACAAGAAGGTAAACAAGGTGAGGAGATCTACACACAGACACTGAAAGAGACACAGGTCCTCGGACCTGCCTAGGTTCCAGAGCTTTCAAATCCCTGTCCTGAGCCTCAGATAATCTCACAAGAAACCCTTCCCACCCTCCAGCTAGGTTGGAATCTCCTATTAGGTAGTTGATTAGTACTCTGCTGCTTCATAGAACTCACAGTTCTAACTATTTATTACTCAATTATGTAATAATCTAACATCCATCTTTGCCTGCTAACCTATAAGCCCTATGAGGTCTGGGAGCTGGTCTGTTCTTTTCCATTTTATCCCTGGTGCTCAGTTCAGCGCCTTAAAAAGAGAAGTTGGCACTTAGCACAGTGGCCAACACTCCCTATTTAAAGAGAAGGGCGGGTTCCGGCTCAAGAGGACGACGTAGGAAGATCCTGAATTCGCCTCCTCCCACAGACATGCCGAACCTACAGCTACATATGGAACAATTTCCTCTGAAAAAAAAAAACCCCTAAAAACTAGCTGAGCAACTCCTACACATCAGGCAAAGCACACTGAAGCAGAGAGGAAAGGCTGAGACACAATCTGGCCGTAAACTCTACCCTCAGTGTGATGACCTACAATCAGGAAGGAATCTAAAGTCCAGAGCTTCTCCCTGAGGAGCAAAGGCACCCCAACTTTAAGACCTGCATCTGAGAGACAAGCCTGCAAAACGTCTAGCTTGGAAAACCAACGGGGCTTGTGTCCACAAGACTCACGGGCTATAGTGAATGGAGAAACAGCTCTTAAAGGGCTCATATGTTTGGACTCACTTACCCCAGAGAACAGCTGATTGAGAGGCGTCCAGACCTTATGTGAAAGAGGCGTATTTGCTTGCCTTAAAGCATCAGCCTGAGGGCAGACATCTAATTTAACACACACCTAAGGGCCTGCAGGGTTCTTCCTAGGGATGAAGGCTGCTGGCAGGCACCATCTGCGCTCTTCCTCTGCCAGCTTGCTAGTATCTCCCGGGAAGGAACCTGTACCCTCCCCTCCAACACCCTGATTTTTGTGGCTGCCACCCAAGGAACACCTTTAGACCACCTGGCTCTGGTGGCCATTGAGACTTATGCTCAAGGGTCCCACAAAACTCTAACCAAGGGAGAAAGAGTTTTTAAACAGCCATCACATCCAGGGCATGGCATGAGGCAACAGTCCAAGAGCCCAGTCTTCCTATGAAAGAGGCCTATAGGCTGTGGCCTGAGGGTTCTAATTAGACACACATCTAAGGTCCTACAGAAATCCTTTCCAGAGATCTCAGGAGACGGGCACTGGCTTTACATTCTCCATCTGCATACTTCAGAGCATCAGTATCTCCTGGAGGGGAGCT